GATGAGACGCTTAGGGTTGTGGTTAGTCTCAGCTAAGAGGAGAGACACCTTGCCCTGGATTACTTACCGTGCTGTTGCTTCTGAAGCATGGTTTCTCGTTTCTTGGCTAGTTTGCGCATGGCATCGAGCAACGCCAGGTGTTTGGAAGATCGTCTCCGATCCACTCGAACGGGCTGTGTAGTTCGCCGCCGGATCGGGGGCAGTGACTGCGAGTTACTGTTATTGTTGTTACCTTGCAGCTGTTGCGGTTGTGACTGTTGCGGCTGTTGTGGCTGCTGCTGCTGCTGTTGTTGTTGTTGCTGCTGCTGCTGCTGTTGCTGCTGTTGCTGTTGTTGTTGCTGAGCCGCTTGTTGTTGTGCCATAATGGTGCGCTGTGCTGATTCAAGCCTTTGGTGGTAGGCACGGAAGTATTGGGTTTTAGACATGTCAGCAGGCAACCCTTCTAAGCCTATCCAACGCTCGAAGCATTCCCAAGGCGTTCGTCTTTCCGCCCCTGATGTGAATTGCGAGGACGGTGTTAGGCAATTGGAAATTAGTGACCAATTGTAGGAATACTCTTTCACAAGGCGACGAAGCTCATCGTCCTCAGTATAGGTCCATTGAGAAGACTGTCTTGACTCGAAGAAACCGACCGATGGCATAGGATGCTCGGTAGGGGGTCTAAAGGAATGGCCGGGGTGAATTCTGTCGCGGATGTGCCTGTTCTCCAAGCGGAAGAGCGCGACATTTGTCTGCTCAGGAGGGAGGTCCAGTGCACCAGTATCGAGATCAGATCGATACTGGGAATAATCGTAGCGACTACGCTTTCGAGCAGGTTCATCGTCGTGGAACGTAACCTTACCAAGCGCGTACTTAGAAACAGGAAGAATTTCGGTCTTCCAGACCGTGTCAGGAGATTCTTTGAAGACTGGTAGGTCTAGTTCAGGCGTGATCGTGATGGGAGAATAGATAGGCAGCTCATCCAAAATCTTCTGCGCCGCAGGAGTCATGTCCAACGAGAACGTGAACTCGTCTGAACCTAGGGAGAAGATTGCTGCTGGTGCGACCGTATCACCCACAAGAAGACGAGGCTCATCACTGAACCCTTCGCTTGCGGAATCTTCTTCAGTAGAAGGAACCAGGTCTGGAGTAGGTTGAGAAACAATCATCATCTCGTCCACCGTGTCTTCTTCGGGCGGGGAAATTAAGCTGGACTTGTTCTCAACTTCGTCGGCCTTGTTTGCGGGAGGGATCTTTGCCTGGATGCGAAGCAGTGAACGGTGCTCTGCATCACTATTGACAAATTCTGCACACCAGTCTGCGCAACTCTTCGCTGCGGCAATTTTCCATTTTCGCTCCTCTCTAAAATCTGTACGCATCCACTTCACATGATTCAGAAGCACATCCCAATGGCTCCCTTCCCGTGGAGGTTCAACCGAACGCTTCAGCTGACGCAAGGGCCATCTGTTTGCATTCTGTAGAGAATAAATCCGACGCAATGTGCGGCAGTCCATCTGCTCTTGATAGTCAAGCAGGTGATTTGACGTCGTCAAAGTCTTATGAGCAGAAGCGATGAGTGTGCTGAGACTTGTCCCACGAGGAGGGGTGTAGGCTCGACTTTGAAACAGAGTAAAGAGGTAGTCTTGCTCTTCATTGAGCTTCCCGAGGTCGCCAGCATGCTGCCTGATGATCTCCATCGAATCATTCTTCTCCTGAGACTGTTGCTGCTGCTGCTGTTTGGGAAATACCACGGTAGACAACTTAGTTCTCTCCTTCTCCCGTGCTTTACGATCTTTGAATCGCATCCTCGCCGTGGAGTCAGGAGTCGCCTCAGCTACGGCCTTTGTCGCATCTGTGGGTTTCTCAACTGGACTTTGCCTATCAGACTGAGGTGATGACTTAGGTGACTCTCCGAGGATCTCAGATACAGATTTATGACGAATGGCTCCAGATGACACTCTAGTTGTCATTCTTTCAACTGTCGGTGTTGCATTGACAGGTGGTGATGGCTTCTTGGCTGGGGTCGTTTCTTTCGGGGTCTTGACGCCTGCTCCGGCCTGAGCCTGATCTTTAGCAGAAAGCTGAGGCTCGGTGGGATGTCCAACCACGACACGCGATGTCTTCAGCTCTACTGGCACTGTTGGAGGTGATATACGAGCGACCGTTGGTGACTGTTCAATAGTGACGGGAGTTGGAGCAGCACTTTCTTCGATGACTTCGCTCGTCGTGGTGCCTTTGGCCGCACTCTCGCCGAGGGATTTGCTTGCAGCAAGGGTCTGCTTGAGCGACTGCGCCTCTTCAAAACGCAGTTGTTCGTCGGGCGTTGATGGTACCAGAGTGGAAAGAGTCTTAGTAATTTCTTCATCCTTAGGGCTCGCAGGTCCCGGAACAGCGTCGTTGACTTCCTCGGCAGGGCTTGTAGCTGGCGACACGGTGACCGGCAAGGGAGTATTGTTTGAGTACTGGCCGGCTGATGATACAGGAGAGAGGGGCTGCTCCGGAGCTTTGGGGATGGATCCGAAAGAGAGAGACGGCCGTGCATCATTCTTTTTCTGGACTGGCACCACAGTAGGTATTGTAGGTGGTGGCACGGGACTTGGTTGCTTCTGGTCCAACCTAACCTCAGCCGCCGCCAATGCTGTATCCTGACCACTGGCATGCTGTCCTAGCTTTGCAGTATGTGCCTTCTGATCTATTGTCGGTGTTGGTACTGCCGGCGCAAGCTTCCTGGGCTGGGAAGATGCTTCCTGGCTCTGGGGCCTGGTGGAAGAGACATCAGACGCAACCTGAGCAGGGGCTGGCGGTTCAGCTGCGGGTTGCTGTAGATTCTGTGTTGGGAGCTGCTGGGGAATTGGACGTTGCTCTCCTGATTTCGGCTTGATCTGCGCGGCAGCATTCTCTGTTGTCAGTGGCGGACTGTCGAGAGTAGCATCGTGAGTCCGTGGAGCAGGTGCGACTGCCGGTAGTGGCACGGGCGCTGCTGTAGCGGTGGACTTCCTGCCATCCCGCGATAGGATCGCTGCATAGTCTGGTAGCTGTGGAAGAGTGGTTTCATCAAAGTATCGGCCTCTGTTGAGGGTTAGTGTGTAGGTCTTGCCAGCAACATGCCTAGTTATTTGCACATTCAAGAGCCTTCATGACTACCTTGAAGGGAAATGACAATTCTGATAGAACGGAGAGCATGAAAGGAAGGTAATTCAATGGGGAAAATAGCATTGGGTGACATTAGGGCAGAGTAAAATTTAAATTACCTGGTAAGGTCGTTGGCATCGAGAAACGCCTGTTCCTTGTGATGGTATAGCGAGTCCGCCGGAGCGTTCCCGGTCGCGCCCGCGAAGCCTACGGTCGCAAAGTAGAGCTCGCTCAGTTTGCGCTTCCGCGACGACAAACAACGTCTATAAAATTCCAAATAAGCGATAAATCCCAGTCGCAGGGCCAGCAGGAATAGAAAGACTGCTTGCAAGCGATAAATGGGGGCAAAATCAAATACGTACGCGATCTCATCTTTCTTAGACCGGAGAAGCTCGTCACGGAGCATGGAGTCTATTTCGGGGAACACAGCATCCGATTAACGCGCTAAAATTAAGGGAAACCAATTGAGCGAAGTCATCCAGATGGAAAAAATCGCTCAGAAAGGATGAAAAGGGTGGTTGTGGTGAGGGGAGATGATGCCAAAGATACGACGCGAAGATTTCACCGCGGAAGGAATTTTTGGGGTTCTTCGGGGGGGGGGGGGGGGGGTGGGTGTGGTGTATGGTGGGAGAGTGAGTATTAGTGTAGGTGGTGGTGGTGAGGACTTCTGGGCCGAATACGGTACGGGGAGGGAGGAGAGAGGAGGGAGGAAGTGTCCAGAGGCAGTTCTGGTATGTATGGAAGGGGAGGAAAAGGAAGAGAAGGGACTGGTAGAAAGACGGTTACTACCACTGCAGGAAGCCTGGGTGACTGCCGCGAACAGCAGCACATTCAATTTGATTTCACATGAGGTACAGATAAATTACGGGTATTTTACCATACACAGTTACTCTGGGTGACGACGGAATGGACATGCGTGGTAGTTGCCTCTGAAGCTGTGGTCATTAGTTAAACCCCCTTACTAATGTGCTGTAAGTTAACTAACTTACTAGGTACCGTAGTTAACCAGGTTAATCACGAGCTTTGCCTTCTTCAGTCACACTGTCCAATTCCGACCGGACTAGTACTCTTCAATGTAGGTCTTTTTACTTCCACGGGCGTGGTTGCTTTCGCTTTCATAATTTATCGAGGAACTGCATTTTATTGTATTTGGGAGTAGCAATAGATATAAATATAATTTTCTCTATGATAACTGGTATGCCTGGTGAGCTCCTTATTGATGTGAATCATTGCATAGGCAGCAACAGCATAGTATATTAGGGCAACCACCGCAACATCCCTTCTTCGGGGCTGCGGTGTTCAAGAATATGGTAACTATAGAAGAGCAATTCATTCAACTTACCAGACTGGACAGCTGTGCAGAGGGTCCTAACACCTTATGGTGCTTTTGTCGGTGCTTGGTCTATAAATGTAACTGATACTCTGGAATACCCGATATAGATCATCGTTTATGGCTGATGCATTGGGACTGTGTTTGTTTTCGAGTAGTGAAGTTGGTAGTCATCTCCTTATCTGCACAATCATTGGAGTAAATGCTATTACCCCATGCATGTTAAGGCATTACGCACATCTACCGGTACCTTAATATGTGCCTATTCGTCAAATGCTACTGCTCAGATAACTACTATAGAGCGGCTCATAAGCAATATCAGGACCTGAGGATGTAGTACTCTCCATAGTTAAAACCACTAGAGCCAAAGGCCTACGGATTACTCGTTCTCCATACCTCATATCTCGATGGTAAAATGACGGCCTTCCAAGTCGAAGGAGGCCCATTAACAAAGGTCAAGGTGGATTCCACACAGATTACGACTTCTGGGCAAACAGTATCATTGACACTGACTGGCGAGTGGCCGGCTTGGAGTCAGACACTGAAATGATAAAGAAGGATGATATTGGGCTCTTGCGAATTCTCCTGTCCATGTTGGCTTATGGTGACCGAAGGCAAGGCATTTGGAGCACAGCTCAACATAAAGACGAACGTTCAGGAATCCATGCGCTCAATATATACTATAGAAGACGGTGATGTACCTTTACATCTACCAGTATCTTGTCGATGCTTTATGAAAACACATTAAGTCAATGCCAACGAGCCAGTAACATGTCAAACCCCGCCAATGGGTATAGATTGATCCCGGACGTGGCAGGTATAAATGTCTTCTAAGTCAAATCAAACATGACATACTGGAGCAGGACATAAGACACGCTGCCGCGCAAGACCCTGCAATACATATAGGTCTTTCTGTATGCAATAAATAAACCTTCTGGGCTGTTTTGGGTTGCTGCCATTGTGTCACCTAATAAGGGTCGAACAAAGATGAGATCGCACAGTGTATGACTATCAGTTGGATTGTACTCGGCTTTCATATTCTAGATCTATAGCTCAGAATCTGTATATTGATGATCAACCTGGAACGTCATACTGGAGGATCAGTCATAGACATGTAGACGAGATCTGGAATACCGAAGACGGCTCCATATTCGAGACATTCAAACCGATAACGAGAGTCTGAGAAGGAGGAGACAAAAGACATCTAAACATCAGACCATGGCGGCGTGGACCAATCTAGATTCACCGCCCACGTTCACCGCTGATAACGCCTGGCAGAAAAAAAAGTTGCCCACGTTCTGATCGCGTTCAGATATTCCATCCAAATCTTTCCACGTTTTCTCATTCCAAGTTAATACATTAGCCATCAGTCATTATGGTCAAGCGCAAGAGAGAAGAAACGGCAAAAGACCGTCAGAGCCTCAAGCAGGCAACTAAGGTCGCCAAGTCAACCACCAGCCAAGAGATTCCTGCGGCCACCGCTACCGACTTCCCGGCGATCACTCTGCAGATTGTCACCGGCTCATACGAACGGGTGTTGCATGGCTTCACTGCTGCTGTTTCTCCCGAAGCCTTTGTGAAACCCACCGATACTGCCTCTGAAACCTCTAACGACTCTGAATTGGTCCAATTTGTGGACAACTTTCTCTTCGAGGCTCACACCTCCGCAATTCGATGCCTCGCACTGTCCCCGTTGCCCAAGGCAGATTCCAACGAAGCCCCCCAAGTGATCCTGGCGACTGGCGCTACTGATGAGCGTGTCAACCTTTACTCATTATCTGCTGCTCCGGTGGCTGTCAATGAAGATTATCCAACTGTTCCGACTCTTGCCGGTAACAAAATTCTCGAAAATCCCAAGAACCGCGAATTGGGCTCATTGATGCATCACTCTGCTCCTATCTCAGCCCTTTGCTTCCCCTCACGCTCAAAGATCTTGGTCGCAGCCGAAGATAACACCATCTCCGTCACCAAAACTCGTGACTTTACCGTCGTTTCGACCATCAAAGCTCCGCACCCTAAAGTGCAGGGCCGCCCAAGCGGTGACACAGCTCCTCCCGGTGGCTCTCCTTCTGGAATCAACGACTTCGCCGTGCATCCTAGTATGAAGCTTATGCTAAGTGTTGGCAAGGGAGAGAAATGCATGAGATTGTGGAACTTAGTAACTGGCAAGAAAGCTGGAGTCTTGAGCTTCAACCGGGAGATTCTACAAAGCGTCAAGGAAGGCAAATACAGCACCGGTGAAGGAAGGCGAATTGTCTGGAACTCCAAGGGAGACGAATTTGCTGTGGCCTTCGAATGGGGCGCAGTCGTCTTTGGCATCGTAAGTCGACAACTGTGCTCTTGTTTATTTGTTGGCATCAAAACTGATTAACCCTGGCAGGACTCGACTCCCATCTGCAGAGTGTTCCCTAACCCTCGCAGTAAGATTCACCAGATGACATACGTCAGCTCCGACCCCTCTTCCGAGGATAGTGATGAACTGCTTGCTGTCTCGACTGAAGACGGCAGAGTCATCTTTTATTCCACCAAACAAGTCGAGAGCGCACCGGAGGGGGATGAGTCTCCTATTCCATTTGCTAAGGTCATCGCCCAGCTCGGCGGTAGGGCACATGGTTTTCCCGGCAGAGTCAAGGACTTCGAGGTCCTCAGCCTGAAGGATCAGCCAGGGCCCAACAAGGGCGACTACTTGGTTGTTACCGCCAATAGCGAAGGCCTGATCCGCGTATGGCTGCTGCGTGGCACTGAACTAGTAGCAAAGAAGAAGAAGGGCGACAAGAAGAAGAATTCCGATTCTAAAGATGAGAAGGCTTCTGAAGTTAACCAGGTTGGCCGACTGTTGAACACTTACGCTACGGGGAACCGGGTCACTTGCCTGAAAGCATTCGTGATGTTGACGGCGGAGGACTCGTCCGACCTCGAGTTTGATGACGAGGAATCCGAGGATGCTGAAGAAGTTAGCGAGGAGGAATCTGATAGCGAAGCCAGCGATGATGAGTAGCATCGGAATTCAAACCTATATACCCCTCTGTCGTTGTTAGGAAGAGAAGTAGTGTGGATTGTTGGATTGCAGCCGTGAGATAATGATGTTATGTTTTTTGCATGGTATTGTTCATGTATAGAAAACCCAGGCATAAGTGTTATGAATCCTGCCTTCTCATTGTAATGGTTTTAGTGCCCGATACTACTGTGAGTAGTAGCTAACTAGTTATTGTTCTTGTGCGATGAGTCAACAATCAACCCCCCGCCGGTCAACTGGTCAAATACGAGCACTGTAGTAAATCCTGCCGCTGCCCACCGCCCACTCGCTCTCCACTGCACAAACCCGAACCCCACTGGCTCAAACCGTATCATATCGCCTCTCCGTTTCCAAGCAGCAATTTTCATCCGACCAGACGACCCTGGATATTCGCCCCTCCTACCCACCCCCCTCGTCAACCCACCTTTTCCTACCTATTCCGTTGTCGTCTCCTGGTTAACACCGCAATCATGGCTACCAACGGCGATTACACAGACGATGAATCCCAGCCTGGATCCCCCATGCTCGATGCGAACGGTCACGATGACATCGAAGATCAGGAGCCCCTCGACCTTGAGGAGAAGCCCTTGAAGTCTGCGATGAAGAACTCTGGAGTGCCCTCCCTCCCCCAGCCTAAGCGGCCAGAGCTGCCCGAGCAGCCCAACCCAGAGACTCTCGACCTGTCCACACTCACCCCTCTGACGCCCGAAATCATTGCGCGCCAGGCCACGATCAACATCGGTACCATCGGTCACGTCGCTCACGGAAAGTCGACGGTTGTCAAGGCCATCTCCGAGGTTCAGACTGTCCGTTTCAAGAACGAATTGGAGCGAAACATCACCATCAAGCTGGGTTATGCCAACGCCAAGATCTACAAGTGCGACAACCCCGAGTGTCCCAGACCGACTTGCTTCAAGAGTTTCAAGAGCGAGAAGGAAATCGACCCGCCTTGTGAGAGAGATGGATGTTCCGGTCGCTACAGACTATTGAGACATGTTTCGTATGTTTCTTTCACCCTGTCCCCTGGAGCCAACAAGCCCCGCCGCTAACGGATGACCCTCTCTACTGTAGGTTCGTTGACTGCCCCGGTCACGATATTCTGATGAGTACTATGCTTTCAGGTGCCGCTGTCATGGACGCTGCCCTCCTCTTGATCGCCGGAAACGAAACTTGCCCTCAGCCTCAGACTTCGGAGCACTTGGCAGCTATTGAGATCATGAAGCTCAGCCATATCATCATCCTGCAAAATAAGGTGGATCTCATGAGAGAAGATGGAGCTCTGCAACACTACCAGTCCATTCTGAAGTTCATCCGCGGTACCGTCGCCGATGGATCTCCCATTATTCCCATTTCCGCACAGCTGAAGTACAACATTGACGCCGTTAACGAGTACCTGGTTTCGCACATCCCGGTCCCTGTCCGTGACTTCACCGCTTCCCCTCACATGATCGTCATTCGATCCTTCGATGTGAACAAGCCCGGTGCTGAGATTGAGGAGTTGAAGGGTGGTGTTGCTGGTGGTTCGATCCTCACTGGTGTGTTGAAACTGAACGACGAAATCGAGATTCGTCCTGGTCTCGTTACCAAGGACGAGAACGGCAAGATCCAGTGCCGGCCTATCTTCTCCCGGGTTATGTCCCTCTTCGCCGAGCACAACGACCTTAAGTTTGCCGTGCCTGGTGGTTTGATCGGTGTCGGTACCCGTGTCGACCCTACTCTGTGCCGTGCTGATCGTCTCGTCGGTTTCGTTCTGGGTCACCGTGGACGCCTTCCTGCCATTTACACCGAGTTGGAGGTTAACTATTTCTTGCTCCGTCGTTTGTTGGGTGTTAAGACCGCCGATGGCAAGCAAGCTAAGGTTGCCAAGTTGACCAAGAACGAGGTTCTCATGGTTAACATCGGTTCCACGGCCACTGGTGCCAAGGTCATCGGTGTGAAGGCCGATGCCGCTAAGCTCAGCTTGACCAGCCCTGCTTGTACTGAGATTGGCGAGAAGATCGCCATCAGCCGCAGAATTGAGAAGCACTGGCGTTTGATTGGATGGGCCAACATTGTCGCGTAAGTTTTCCCTTCTCGCCGCGCGCTCACAACTCCTCAGAGTACGAGTCATGATGAAACCCGACTAACTTTGAATCAGCGGTAACACTCTCGAGCCTGTCTCGAACTAAAACAAGCTATTGGTAGCTTGAAGAGTTCCAACTTGGTCCAGCCAGGAGAATGGTTGATGAAGACATTGTAGTCTAGTTGATAACTAGCCTTGATGGACTGGGTCTACTCTGAAATAGAAGGGTTTACGGTAATGAAAGCGCGTGTCGGGCTGATTCCCTGGATAGAGAACGCAGTAAGTCCAATCTTCGCCTATCTCACCTGCTGGGGAGCACGGGGGAGACTTTTCCAAACTCCCGCCGGCCCATCCAGAGGTTTGCAGAGACAAAGAGGCCATGCATGCAGCAGGATGGATAGGCAGATTGGAGGCTGAAGTAGCATGGCTGGAGTTGGTGCGCGAAGGCTACTTCTTTTGACGTGTGTTATGACGCTATTCTGTGGAAGTCATTTTCTTCATCATCTTTTTTCTGTTCATTCTTATTGTTCGGTCCAAGATACATGGCCTCTTTTTTTGTAGATGCTGTATAGGGGGATGATGAATGCAACGAAACAAAAGTTAAGAACTTTGCTTAATGATATTATTGTGCATATTGTTCTCATAGTCTGGGCTCGGTTGAATTTGGTGAAACTGAATGTATGTTGGAATCTATTTCAATTTTTGTTAGGTTAGGTTATGGTTACTCACCAGGGAGAGAGAGACCCTGTCGCTTACTCATTGTCCTTGTTGACAACCTGTCTTGTTCTTTATTATTGAACCCCAAAATAGTGACAGTAATGTTACATGCATGTATTTAGTTAACCTACTCGTAACTTAAGAGGCAGTGAAACACATCCGCGGTTGTTTAAGGCTGCAAGGCAACCAACTACCACCAGGTCGCCAGCTACGGAGTACTTCTTACTCCATCACGTCCCCCCCCCTCCGCGGTGTCCTTCCTCCTCATCACCTCATAGTCCGAGGAAACAGCCCACTTCGCAGCAGGTTCTATCTCGGATTCTTGCTGTGCTGCGGACGCTACCATGTATATTCTCGAGGTAAGGACTGCTGTTCCGAGACTATTATTTCTATCGTTCGCCTTGTCAATTGAAAGAAGCGTGAGCTAACGCGGCTTACCGTGTCCCGAATAGCAACTGGCGCGTCTGCTCGACCGCCCATTCTTTCCATGGAAAAATGTCCTCGTGGGGTTCTCTCTGGGACAGTTTGTTCTAGAAGGACTCTTGTCTTTCCGTCAGTACAAGGTCTTGCAGCGGACGAAGCCTCCCCAGGTCTTGGAGGGCGAGGTGTCGCAGAAGGTTTATGATCAGAGTCAGGTATACATGCGTTCTGCCTCCCTCGACTCGAGAGTTTACTGACGAGCGCCATCTCTTTCGGTAGGCTTATGGTCGCGCCAAAGCCAAGTTCGGTTTCTTTGCAGGTCTTTACAGTCAAATTCAGAATCTCGCGTTCATCTACGGCGATGTCCTCCCCAAGCTTTGGGGTGTTAGTGGTCTCTTGTTGGCACGGTATCTTCCAGCTCGGTTCCAGGGTGAAATTGCACAGACACTCCTCTTTCTCTTCGGTTTCAACTTGATCAGCACGGTTCTCTCTATCCCGGTTTCGTACTACAATACGTTCGTTCTTGAGGAGAAGTTTGGTTTCAATAAGCAGACCGTCAAGCTCTGGGTCACGGACATGCTCAAGGGTCAAATGCTGGGTATCGTGCTGGGAACTCCGATCATCAGTGCTGTTCTCAAGATCATTCAGAAGACTGGCAACTCATTCTTCTACTACCTCTGGATCTTCGGTATCTTCATTCAGGTTTTTGCTATTACAATCTACCCCATCGTTATCCTTCCTCTGTTCAACAAGCTGTCGCCCCTAGAGCCCGGCCAGATAAAGACGGGTGTTGAGAACCTTGCCAAGAAGCTCGACTTCCCTCTGAAGGAGCTGCATGTCATTGACGGCAGCAAGCGCAGTGCTCACAGCAACGCCTACTTCTACGGACTTCCCTGGAAGAAGCACATCGTCATTTATGATACTTTGATCGAGAAGAGCGAGCCTGAAGAGGTGGTCGCGGTGCTCAGTCATGAACTCGGCCACTGGAGCCTTAGCCACACTACCAAGCTGTTCGGTATCGCCCAGGTGCGTTCCGCGAATTCCTGGTTTCCCGAACTGTTATAGGAGATGAGCTAACCCCAGGATAACAGTTCCACATGTTCTACATCTTCGCGCTCTTTTCTGCTTTCGTGAACAATAAGTCCCTGTACCAGTCATTTGGCTTCCACAGCCAGCAGCCCATTATGATCGGATTCCTCTTATTCTCCGACGCCCTCGCTCCCATGGACGCCGTCGTCAAGCTGTTGATGAACATTCTCAGCCGCAAGTTCGAGTTTGAGGCCGGTACGTGCTCATCCCTCACGTTGTCCACTTTGGCTACATGTTGACTGAAACTGACGAATCACAGACGCCTTCGCTGTTGGACTCGGATACTCTGAGGAACTAGCACAGTCTCTTCTCAAGCTCCAGATCCAGAACCTCAGCACCATGGATGCTGACTGGATGTACGCAAGCTACCACTACTCTCATCCTATTCTTTCGGAACGCCTCAAGGCGCTTGGCTGGAAGGGCGGAAAGGTCACCAACCTCAAGGAGGAAGACAGCGAGAAACCGGTCAAGGCTGCGGATCGTGAGCTGTGAGGCCCTTCACTTCAAGTACTTCAAGTCGAGATCTTTGGGGGTGTTTAGCCTCCTGTTCTGCCATTCGTAGAGTACGGGAGCCGTCGAGCACTTTGATACATGAGATTGTAATTGACAATTTGTTGGTGTTGGAATGCTATAATAAATTCGAAGAACTTAACAAAAGAAGTAAGAAAACAAACCAATGGCAACCTCCTATGTATATTCGCCTTGAATGCGCCCAATGCTGTATGCATATCTAAGTTGAACCCCGAATCGATAAAAGCGAGTCCCAAACGAAAAAAAATGGCCAACCGTACCAATAACCGGAATATTGTTGCGAGACTTCAACTGGGCTTCAGGCATCGGTGCCGGCCTTGGCCTTGGCCCGTTTCTCTGCCAATCTACGCTCCTTCTTCAGGCGCTTCCTCTCTTCCTTGTCGATGGCCCCCGATGCGGGTCCCTCTTGATCTTGCTCCATGTTGACATCTGCGTCCAGCGGGTCCTGCGAGCCCTCCAGGGCCTCACCCTCTTGTTGGAATTTCTGGGCATCTTCCCAATCTTGGCCCTGCTCCGCCTCGGTGGTCTGCTGCTGCGCATCGCCGTCCTCTCCGGCCATGAGCTTTGCCAGGGTCAGGTCCCGACCCAGGACCTCGCCAGCCAGACCGGCCTGCACGCGCTTCAGATTGTGCAGCATCAGATTGGGGGCGGCGGCCGTGGTGCGCGACAAGGGGCCATGTTCACTGATTCCGGCGTTGGGTTGGAGGGCGGGGTCCGTCGCAGCACGGTCGAGGTACGCCGCGAGGAAGTCGTGGGCAGCCGACTGGGAGATCGGTCGGGATGAGATGATGGTTGTGGGAGGGAGAGCCGAGGGACCTTGGGCGGCCATTGTGATAGTCGCAAGAGAAGTTTGCTTTCGTTGCGAAGTGTTCAGTGGTCGTGTGCGACTTTATGTAGTTTTTTTTATCCGCCCGGTGTAGGGTATAGAAAGTCGTCAATGGCGGGCGATAAAGATTGGTCTGTATTTCTCGAATGATCGGAGATATGCGACAGAGCTTGCGCCTGGAGGTGATTGGTGTGTATGCGTTTAGAAGTGTCTGTGTAGACCAAATGGGGAATCTGGAGAAATGGAGATTGCGGCGACAGACCGCGGGCGGGCAGAAAAAAAGTTGTTGGTGTCAAAGGTCGCAGGTGGTCCGTGCGTTGTTGGTGTTCAATTTTCGTCCTCCGTCACTCACTCACGCACGCTCACTCAACTCACCCAACTCAACTCTCCCTCCCTCCACACTTGAGATCCTCCTGTCGGTGACCCGGTTGTTTGCTTGATTGCCGTCCTCTTGGCCTCAATTCTATCAGTGCAGTCGGACGCTATGATCTGCTTCCAGTGCCGGGCCGTGCCCGCCACTCTCCGGTCCTCCATGACCGCGGCCACCAGGTACGTGGTTGCTTGCGATGGATGCCCTTTCAAATCCACCACCACCACCACCTAGTTTCCGCCAATATATCGCCAACCTGCCCCCCTTTCCCTCCCCCAATCCTCGAAATTCCAGCCTGGAAAGTCAAGCCGAAAGAAAACGCAAACCCACCGAACATACCGCACCACCTCTTCGCGACTACCCGAATATCCAAAGGCTAACCCCGTCGTGAATTCCAGAATCCCCATCTCCGCACCCGCCGCCGCCGCTGCCCGCGCATCAACAGCAAGAACCACCACCACCACCACCACCACTACCACCACCACCTCAATCCGCACCCTCATCACCTCCTCCTCCGCTTTCTCTCCCCTTCGCGCACAGCTCTCCCACCAACAACGAACCCCCTCCACCGCCATCCTCTCATCGACCTCCGCCTTCTTCCCCTCCACATCTCCCACCACAGCCTCTCTGCAACAATCCCGATCCTTCTCCGCCAGCGCCTGCCTGCTCGGAAAGCGGTCAACCTACAACCCCTCGCGACGGGTGCAGAAGCGGCGCCACGGGTTCCTGTCCCGGGTCAAGACCCGGACTGGACGGAAGATCATTCAGCGGAGAAAGGCCCGCGGCCGGAAGAACTTGAGTTGGTAGATTCTGCGGTTTCTCTGTCGCTTAAGTACCTCTACCCTACCTTGAGGGTCTACCCTACCCTAAGGGAGACGGCGGGGCTTGGTTGATTCCGTCTCAAGTGACCGTTCTGCACCAATGGGCTGTGTATCTCGCTGAAAGCTTCGGGGGAGGGGGGTTATCCGTTCTTCTGTTTTATCTTTTTTGTTGTGCTCGGTGTGCTGCATATTTCTTTGAAGGTTACTCGCATTGGATTTCTCTGGGGCTCTTGTTACTAGAGGGTATATGGGGTCTTCGATGAGATACATGGGTTGGACCGGAGCTGGAAGATCTCAGTTGGGCATGCGGTTTCGTGCTTCATATCTTAAACAGGAGTATGTTAACTGCGGTGCTCAGCTGTGGTCAGGTGAGGGCATGGGTTGTGTCGGTGGGTGGCTGATGATCCAGATTGAGATATGATGGTTGTATTCTACCACCTTGTTTCTTTTATATTTCCTATTTTGTACCATATACATACATACATCTTTGGCATGGATTTTTACCTGTGCGATTGGACCCGGAGGTTTCGTGCAGACGGTTGTTGAGGGCTGGCTGACTGTCTTGGCTCTTACGTGTAGCTTGTTGGTTGGATGGTAGGGGAATGGCAGTTTAAGATGATACGGCCTGTTGTTCTTCGGCGGCACCGACCAAACAATGCGGGGTCTCCAGCGTGGGGATAGCCTGTTCAGCCCTCTAATTTTGAAGAAAGTTATTTACAAATATATCTGTATGTATTTCTTTAAAAAGAGATAATCATGCTCGTTTCATGGCTTGACAAGACTGCTTTCTAGCTTCTGGTTTATTGCCGCGTATCGTCTAGACGTTCAGGTACTGTAGTACTGTAGTATACCGTGCGGTTCATTCGGTTTCATAAGGCTCCTACCAAGACGAGAAAGATCACTCTTCATCGTCATCCTCGTAGCCGGATTCTTCCTCATCGGAGCTCTCGTCTTCGGAGCCGGATTCCGAGTCGTCATCATCATCATCGTCGGAATCCTCGTCGTCCTCTCCCTCCTCCTCGTCATCGTTGTCATCACCGGTCTTGAGTCCGTAGTCGTCCTCGAACTCCTTGAGGGCCTGTACCTTGGGTGTGAAGCCGGAGGCTTGTAGGCCTTCTTTGATTGTCTGGATCGATGAGTCAGTCAGGAGTCATCCCAAGAGTTTTGAAGGGGGGTGCGGGATTGGGGTTGACATACTTCCTCCATTACAGTAGCGCACGTGATGACGATGTTGGCCGTCGTAGGGTTGAACAAGGGCAGGATGATCTTTCTCAGAGCACCCTTGACCTCCTCAACGGTAATGGCGCGCACCTGCTTGAGCATGTTCTCCTTGTAGTCACTGGGCAGGCGACGGACCACCTGGCGAATGAAGCTGTCTGAAGCGGCGTTGGCAATGGTGGCCTGTTCGTTGGCGAAGCTCACCACGATGCTGCTGATCGCACCCTCCATCATCAAGGGATCGAACGCAATGGCACCAGAAAGGTGGTCTTCGACAATCTGCTTGCTGGAGTCGAAGGCCTTGTGGGCGTTGGGCGACCGGTACACATCGAAGTTGACGAATCCGGTGTCGATGTTGTAGGCGAAATTCGTGCCGTAGGCCAGACCCTTGCCACGGACGGCAACCCAGAGAGGACCTTCGACGGCGTTCATGTACGCAATCGCGACCAGCAGGGCAGGCAGGTTCGGGTCGTCGTAGGTGTCCAAGCCTCGCGCAGTGGCGTAGGCAAAGGAGGAATCGATGGTCGGCATAGGCACCACATACGACTTGCCGCCGAGGTGCTGACCAGCCTCACTGAGCAAGGGACGTCTGGCTGTGATGGGTCGAAGGGGGGCAACCGCTCCCAGCCGTTCAGCATACGGCTTCCAAGCCGAGACCGGGTTCTGCAATTTTTCGAGATCTGCAATAACCACAACCCGCATGTTCTCGAACCGGAAGAGAGCTTGGCGAATCTCCTCCATGCGTGCAACGACGGTTTCCGGCTCGTCAGCCAATTGCTTCTTGATCCGCTTCAGATAGCGGGCCTTGACCAAAGTGCTGCGGGCACGCACGATAGATTCGGGCGCGTAGTGAACCATGACATGCACTGCCGCCAGCATGTCGTCGCCGCTTCGCTTGGAGTCTGGGACGTCAGAGAGAAGGCGTTTAGTAATAGCGCGCAGTCTCTCAACGTCGAAAATCGAGTTCCAAGAAAGCTCCTGAAGCCATGCGATTGCGGTGCTGTACTTCTCCAGCTCCACCTGGAAGGAGATCCGCAGCATTTCGGAAGTTCCCAGGCTTCGGGCGCCTTCCATAGAGTAACCAACCGTATCTCTTTCCAATTCAACAACGACCTGTTCAAAGTCGATGGTCTTGCCATCACGCTGGATCGGCAGGTTGAAGAACGCTTCCGTGTACACAGATAGTAGAGGGCGAAGTTGCACTGGAACGGCTGCGGCGGAGATAAGGAGAGAGAGTTGAACGAAGCTGCTTGGGATGTGCTCAAAGTGTATGAACAAAGGCAGGTCTGAGCCATCAGCATCCACTAGGCTCTGAGGCTTGTTTTCGGGACGACCCAGTTTCAGAGCAGTGCCCGACCGCGCAGTTGTCGTTTCGACGAAATGGATAGATTCGACGCCAGGAATCTGGAACCTCTCCAACATTTCTTTAGGGATCTCTTTGTCGTTCTCGGCCTTGGCTTTTTCAAGCTTGTCTGCGAGCTTCTTCAAACCATCCTCACCCAGCCGTTTCTTCTGCTCCGCAACCCGGGCTTCTTCCTCCTTTTTGAGAGTGTCAGACATCTTCAAGGATGGAACACCCAAGATTGTGACGTGATTGGCGTCAGAAATCCATCTCTTGATGAAGCTGCGCCAATCTTCCTCGCTCCACTTCTCCAGCACGTCGTACTCCTTCAGGCTCGCGACATCGAGCATGGTGGACCCGTCCCGTTTTCCAAAGAGGAAGTCAGAGATCACATACTCAGCGAAGGAGGAAGCTGACGTCTCTGTCGAAAACTTCCAAGTCCGCCGTTGTCGGTCGATGCATTCCCTAAGATATTTCATATCAAGTTCTTTCTCCATTGCATCCTTGAGAACCTCGAAGAAACGCTGCTCCACCCTAGCAATCTTCTTCGTTTCAACACTAGTCAAAGTGAAACGGATTTCGATACTGGGGTGGTCCTCGGTGGCATAATAGACTGCGCTGGCGAGCTGCTCCTTCTCCACCAAAATGTTGTCTAGCAGCGAAGCAGACGATCCAGCCAGATACAACAGGGCAACGTTGACAGCCCCAGCTATCGATCGTAAGTATTCGGTCTTTACACTGCAGAATGAGCCTTGACTTACTGTTAACGGGGTCTATGCAATCAGGACCAAGAAACCTGATCTCAATCTCTCCAAAAGACTCGTCTTCTTCCGGAAATTCAACCCTCTGTACGGTGGACTTCTCCAACGGAGGTGCCTGCTTAGAATCCACCCAAGGGCGGGTGAACGGCGCATCTGGGCTAGGGATGACATCTAGAATGGTATCTTCAAACTTGTCCAAAACACTCAGCATGTTCTCATGATCTACCTCACCCGTGATGATCAGACACAGGTTCTTTGGTTGATACATCTCACGATGGAATGCTCGGATACGCTCCGCAGTGAGAACACGAAGCTGCTCCATCATACCACCAGTCTCATAACGGAAACCTACACCTTCCGGGTAAGTCAACCGACGGGCAGTCAAGTCGATCAATTCGGCGGAGTTGTTTTGTACTCCTTGCATCTCTGAGTAGACCACGCCTGCATCGTTTCCAGCCCCATCGATATGGTGGACCTCAGTATAGCACCCTTCATCAGTCAAGGTCGGGGCGATCACATGCTCTAGGTACACGGGTAAGATCTGAGCGAAACCCTCCCAGCCCGCTGTGTCCAGCGTGTAAGCCGTGTGGTCAGTGGCAGTCCATGCATTAGTGCTAGAGTACACTCGTGTTGCGAGTTTGTCTAGGAATCCTTTATATCTGTAATTCCGCGACCCCATGAAGCACAAGTGCTCCAACGTGTGGGGAGCTCCTGAGTCATCGTGGATCTCAGTAGCTAGGACAAAATATCCTGTGACCTTAGGACCCTTCTGGTCGATGACCACGACCCTCATGCCAGTCCTCGTTGACTCATACTGAACAAACTCGCTGGGCGAGTAGTCCGGCTTGAACCTCTGGAGGAGCTTGAAGTGACCCTTATGGCTTGGTGACATGTTGAAAGCCGACCCTGCGAACCTGCGGGGATAAGTTGTGGTCACTCCCCGTATCGAGGAACTAGTGAACTGTCAGCACGCCATAATTGACCCCCTCTGTAATATTACGCCCAACGGGGGGTTTTAAGATAGTATAATAGAAGCTAGCAATGCTCCGGGGTTAAAACATTGTGATTGGAAAGATGGATGCACGTCTTTTCTTCGCGCGGGAAAATGCTAATCATGCGGTAATTTGTGATTGAAGATATTTGCATAACAGTAACAGCGGCTGACAATGACCATGGTATCTCGGGTTGCGAACCGTACCAACAGGTCTGATGATAACGGCAGTGGCGGAGGGGCATGTTTTGGGCTCTTTTTTTCTTTTTCTTGTCTCAAAATCAAGCGAAGGGTAGCGACATGAACTTACATGAATAGAGAAGAGGTTGCCCGAATCAGGCTCCGTGAGAGAAACAGTGGCGACACGGTGGGCTCTGCTTGATAGCAGTGTCTCTTTAAAGGGATTTTCAGAGAAAAGTGTCGTGAGCACTGATGGCTGCTGAGAAAAGGTTGAACTCAAACTGGACTGCGACGGTTCGGAGTGGAGTTTTGGGTCCCGATATCTGATACAGTCTGTCGTAGACCTCGGAGATCAACCATGCCACTGGAGTTGGTAATGGCTATTGGCCTATGACGTGACGACAACACACCTCCTGAAAAACACTGCGAAATCGTAAGCCCGAGGACCAAGACCCACGAATGAAGAGCGCAGTGAAACGAAGGCTGCATGAATCAGTCGGGTGGGGAGTAGTTCAAGCTGATCGCATTGCTCCATCTCCGTCTATCGCAGTCAGGGCGGTGAGCGGTGAGGTCACATGGTAGTGGTGGTGGTGGTGGTTGTTGTTGATCGATTCAATAGTTCCTATTCCTGTTGCAAGTGCTATACGGAGTACTTCAACTATTTCCTTGTTGCTCGCTCCAGGGATTTCCGTCTGAGATACAAGGCTGGTATCAGTCGGATCAGCATAATAAAGCAACCGCTTCCTAATTTGCGCCATCTCTGTGACGGTTTCCCCTAGCTTGTTGGCCCGCGAAGGACACGGTACAAGATGCCCGGCAAGATTTCAGAGGAGGGGATCTGTCAATCGGTCCTTACTTTCGTGACTGACGGCACTTATCCTTCCTCAGAAAAGATCATTGCGGCCGAGTTTCCTGTCTCTGCACTGTCTAAGGATTTGGAACTGATCTCCAAAGCTAGAGAACAAGTTGAGGTGAGTTGATGATTCGAGACGCGAGCCCCGCATCAGATCCAGCTTATCTGAGTCCTGCTAATGCCCATCCCAATTGCTTGACAGGCCGAAATAAACTCTCTCAGTCGCGAGAACAATTTTGATGCGGACGGATGGATCTCCCAAGCGAAACAACTTCATGCAGACATCGAGCGCTCCAGGGTCACTGCCCGAGAGATCGTGCAGCAACATGAGAATACCACTCCTCTACAGCTGAAGGTGGAGGATGCCGCTGCGAAGGTCGGATTGATTGAGACTGAAATTGCTTTCAATCAGGCGGTGACCAGTGCTCTGGAGGAGGTGCAGGGGCTCTGCCGGCAGCTGGAAGATGGTCGGTCAGCACTGGGAGAGGGTCGGATCATGGCCGTGATCGACACGCTAGAGGCAGCTGAGCTTGCAATGAGACAAAATGATCACTTTGCGAACACCAACGTCTTGCACGTCTTGTTGGAGAATGTCGCCGGTCTGCGAAAGCAGGTCGTTGATGTCATTCTTTCTCAATGGAATGAGCAGCTGAAGATTGAAAGACGGGAAGGGAAGTTAACAGTTCAAAAAGACGGTAATAACCCCTGATAAACCTGATTGCTAACTGATTCATTTGATTTATTCTAATTCAAATCGCAGGTGACCGCCTAGAAGGAACGATCGCAGCCCTAAACAGAATGGAGATATTCGTCACTGCGCGTGACAAGTTTGCAAAAGACATAATGATTGCATTACTAGACCCAACCTTGATGCGAGGCGTTGATGGTCAAAGCCGCGGGATTCTGATTTCTGAATCCTCAGTTCAGGTGGAGTCGCAAGCATCGAAAACCTCAGTCCCTGAAGTCCTCGGACACATAAGCAACCTTCTTGGTTTCTTGCGACAGGCTGTACCAACCTCCGTTGTCGACTCATTCTCGGACTCGCTGATTCCCTCATTGTCCTCGAAGATGATTAAATTGTGGCTGTCACCCTCCATCCCCATCGAGCTGGGAGGGCTTCAAGACTTCGAGCATACCCTGGATTGTGTCCTTAAATTCACAAAGTCTGTGGAGGACCTGGGCTGGCATGGCTATGAAGAACTTACTTCTTGGGTGAACCAAGCTTCTCGACTCTGGCTTGCCAAGCGGAGGGTTAACTCTCTGGACCAAGTTCGTAAAGTCCTCGCTGCGAGCCAAGGCACCACAAAGCAGGTGGAAAAGGTTGAAGTAGAGGTAGTATCTGAGCAAGATGACACGCTATTGGAGAACGCTCCAGCCGATGATTGGGATGCCAGCTGGGATGATGACAATGCAGGTGAAAGTGAAGGCAAGGTTTCTAAAGCTCAAGACGACGAAGAGGACGTGAGTGCATGGGGGCTCGATGACGATGACACCGAGGAACAAAACTCGAAGTCTCAAGTAGGCGCTCCAGCTGAAGACGATGCCGGTGACGCTTGGGGCTGGGGAGATGACGATGATGATGACCAGACCGTCGATCAACCACAGCCCGGAAAGTCGCAAGTCAGTCAGCACGCCAACGGCAAAAGTGCAAGGCAGCCTACTTCTTCGAGGGAGGTTACTCTGACCGAAAGATACACTATCACGGATATACCTCATTCCATCGTGGATATCATAAAACAACAGATCATTGATTCCCAAGCTATAACTCAGCCTGAGTGAGTTTCTATATGCATCAAGGCAGTTGATTTCCATGCTAATACATTTCAGACATTCACATTCACGCGTGGTATCTTCTGGAACGGGGCTGCTTGCACTCCCAACCTTGATCCTCGCCATGTTCAAGGCCACTGCCTCATCCTTCTATGATCATAAATTGAATGCTGGGCAAATGTATCTTTACAATGATACTCAGTATCTTGCTGGCGAAATACGTACCATCATGGAGGCGCACCAGCTTACACGATTGCAAGCCGACATTGATGCGATGGAGAAATTTGGCAAACTCGCATATAGCAAAGAGATGCAAACCCAGCGCACCATTGTGACCGATCTTCTCGACGGCGCCCAAGGATTCAGCCAGTGCTCTGAGCAACCGTATCTGAGCGAATGTGAGAATGCGGTCGCTGCCACCGTTGACAGAATTCGGAGTGTCTATGCAGAATGGCAGCCGATTTTATCGCACTCAGCCCTTCTTCAGTCAATCGGATCCTTGGTCTCGACCGTGATCAGCAAGATGATCATCGAGATCGAAGACTTGGGTGACATCTCAGAGCCCCAGTCGCAACGACTTGTATCTTTCTGCAACCAAGTTTCGAAGTTGGAAGAGCTGTTCATGCCCGAAGCAAAAGACAACACTGAGCGTGTACCCATGACGGCGGTCTATGTGCCAACTTGGCTCAAATTCCAATATCTCATCAATATTCTCGAGAGCTCGCTGGCCGATATAAGATTTCTCTGGGTTGAAGGAGAACTACGCCTGGAGTTCTCGCCCGAAGAAGTCATTGACCTGATCGAGGCGCTGTTCGCCGAATCCGAGTATCGGCGGAAAGCGCTTGCGGAAATCCGACGGGAATCTAGGAGTCAATGGAGATAAGTTGGATCAGGGAAGATCTGTGTATATATGAGACCGTGTACGAGGGAAATAAAAATACTCTTCGATTTGGTCTTTGTTTGTGTAGGTCTACTGAGTATATTGCTTGTTATCAGCATGAAGGCGGTCGCGGGGGATCTCCGCGCTTTGCACATCTGGCCGCATCGCCCGCCGTACTTTTTCTTCTTTCTCGGCGGAGTTTTCTCAACGGCGACGAAGTGCGCCTTTGACCACAGTCCCATAATATACCCTATCTTTTCTGGTAAATCAGTCTCAAATATGAACGGGACTCAGGATTCTTCGTCTGCTGCGAGTGCGCAGAGACAGGTGCGTGTGCAGCTTGTCAGCAAACAGGAAGACATTGCGCTTCCTGAGAATACCGGCCCTATCTTGGTTCCTACTGGTGAGATTACCAGCTAAGTCATTGATGCGCCAGCCTCACAATGCTGATATTTTTATGATTCGTAGGTCTGCGCAGATATGCACTCTCGACGCTAGTCAACAACCTGCTGGCGAACGACAAGCCGGTACCTTTCGAGTTCCTGATCAACGGAGCATTCCTCCGCACTTCCATCGATGAATATTTGACCGCCAATGGCATTTCCGCTGAAACGACTCTGGAGATCGAGTATATCAGAGCGTTGATTCCTCCACTTCACATCGCCTCTTTTGAGCATGACGATTGGGTTAGCGCCGTGGACGTGCTTTCTGCGACATCATCTGCTGCCTCTTGGGCATCGTCATCGATCTCTCCAGGCCAAGAAAGAATCCTCTCCGCTAGCTACGATGGCTTGCTTCGGGTGTGGAATATGTCTTCTCAGATAGTTGCGACCTCTCCGTCTGCTGTAGACGGTGGACACAGCGCATCCATCAAGGCAGCCAAATTCTTGTCTCCCAACTCGATCGTCTCGGCCGGTCTGGATCGCACTGTGCGTCTGTGGAAGTACGCTGAGAGCGAAGACGGGTTCTCTGGGAAGATCGCTCCTCAGCTTGAGTTGTACGGTCACAAGTCCGGCATCAACTCGTTGGCCGTGCATGCGCCTTCGAACCGCATTTTAACCGCCTCCTCCGACCACGCTGTTGGTTTCTGGTCCGCTAAGAAATCAGACGCCCCGGCCGCCCCGGAGAATCTACTGCCCTCTGCCGCCTCTAGAAACTCCAAGAGAAGAAAGTTGAACTCCTCCATCAGCACTGCTCAGCGCGGACCCTTGGCTCTGCTCTCCTCCCATACCGCTCCAGTATCGGCCGCCATCTTCGATGCCAAAGACTCAACCGTCGGTTACTCAACTTCATGGGATCATACTCTCCGCACGTGGGATCTGGTCACTGCGGCACTTGTCGACACTCGGTCAACGTCCCACTCGCTTCTCTCCCTCGAGCATCTCCCCGAGCACCACCTCCTGGCAACAGGAACTTCCGCCCGCCACATCACTCTCATTGACCCCCGTGTCTCGGCGACAACTATCTCTGCCATGACCCTCCGCGGCCACACGAACGCTGTGGTCTCCTTGTCTCGCGATCCCCACAGCAGCTACGGCCTCATCAGTGGTAGCCACGATGGTACGTGCCGCATCTGGGATATCCGTGCCACCAAGACAGACAAGGATGGTGTTGTTGGAGAAAGCGTCTACTCGATCACACGGAAGAGCCTTGAGGAAGCGGGCAAAGCCGACGCCAAGCGCGTGGGTGGCGAAGGGGTCAAGGTCTTTGGCGTGTGTTGGGATCGTTCTGTTGGCATTGTCAGCGCCGGTGAGGATAAGAGGATCCAGATCAATCGGGGAGAGGGTGTTCTGTCTTCCGCGTGAAGCAAAGTGTTGCACATATGGTTCTGGCGTTCTTTCATTTGTAGGATGAAAAAGTTCGGTATTTGGCTTCTATCGGAGGAGTCCACTTGTATGAGTTGGCATATCTTTTAGCAATACACCATTAATTGCTTCTTCGGAAAACAATGCTTAGATCCGCAGTTCGTAATCAGACATTTTATTTGTCTACATGTGATACATGCCATCGAATATTGAGGATGGGTCCGGGGTGGTTCTAGTGAAAAATATACAGGTTACAGAGTACAGCAAGAAAGAAAGGGAGAAAAAAAACGATAACGCCAACCCATGCCCTCATGATAAAAGAGCCAAGCGCAAGACTCGCCAATCGAAATAGAAACCCATCGCCTCAACCAAGTCGTCTCTCGATACGGTTGAATTTGACAGCGTTCTTGATCTGTTGTAGGGTCCCCCATATTAGCGGATAGTTCCAACGGTGACAGGCATGCTCTCCTGGAAGCAGAGTCGAAGCCCGCAAAATACACCCTTCCCATGAAAAGGCAGGGTATTAGTGACGGAAAGGAATCCACCCACCTGGTTTCGTGTGTTCTGTCCCCGAACGGGCAACCCCAGCGCATGACGACGACCGCGGTAGGTACCGGTTTCCTTCAATCGTTTGATATTGTCGATGACTTGTCTGCGGAGGTCGTTCTCGATCTTCATGTCGGACAGGGCGGCCGTGATATCAAGGACCTGCTTGTTGCCCAGTTCGCCGACCTTGCATGCTGGATGGATGTGGAAGCGGGCGAGGAGGCGCGAGGAGGTGTGGTTACCGATGCCGAAGAATGACTCGAGGGATTTCTGGATTGCGGTCAGAGGGGAAGGTTGACTCGATTAATGCACGTTTGCTTGCCTTGACGAGGTTCCGCTCGGGGAAGTTGACGCCTAGGATGAAGACCTGATGGAGAGTGTTAGCGGGGTGCGGAGCTCAATTGGCAGACACGTTTTCTTTACCATCTTGTCTAGTACAAAAGCCTTTGGCTTTAGAAGAAGAAAAAAAAAAGAACTTGCGATGGGAGCTCGATCTCGTTGCTTGCGCTGCCGGGGCTCTCTCTCAACTGCCCGCCGCGATGATTGAGCACGGGAGAAAATCCGCCAGTAACAAAGTTTCTCCGGGGCAAATGACGGTAAGTTTCAAGATGCTGTGACGCTTGGCCGGATGATAACGTTATCCATCCATCCCTATTGCTGGGCAGAATGTATGGATACCAGTACTATACCCTGTCGGCGAACCGCAAATTACACATTCTTACCTAGTACCACCACTAGCACTGCGCTTTCGGAACCTTGGATATCATGCATCTTACTGGATCAGGAATGATGGGCTTGGCACCTCCGCAGTAGGCCAGGAAAGTAATGCAAGCTGGCCTCGATGCGGTCCAATTGCTTCTCTCCTCAATTGTCTGCGACTGTGCCTTCCTTCATCTTACCCCCAGACAATTGCATTCGAGGTTCAGTTTTTTGAAGTCATTCTTCAGTAACCATGAACTTCAGAAACCTTTTCCTGTCCTTCTTCTTGGTCCTGGCGGTCGGGTTCGCCCTCGTACACGCCGAAGAGGCCAAGCCTCGGGGCCCGAAGATTACCAGTAAGGTATGAGATGCGAGCTATGAGCTTGAGCGCTTGCCCTCAAGGATGCTGGATTATTCCATGTTCCGGGACAATGGGTGCTGATTGATGTCTAATGCAGGTTTACTTCGATATCGAGCATGGCGATAAGCCCTTGGGCAGAGTTGTCCTTGGTCTGTATGGCAAGACTGTTCCCAAGGTATGTGGATATTCACCACGCAGCTCTGTTTGTTGCCGGACTCAATGCTAACTCAATTCCCCAACCTAGACCGCTGAGAACTTCCGGTATGATACTCTGGGCCTTGCTCCAGCTAGGTTCCTGATCACCACTGACGTTACTTACTTCCAGGGCTCTTGCTACCGGTGAGAAGGGCTTCGGTTATGAGGGTTCTACTTTCCACCGTGTCATCAAGGACTTCATGATTCAGGGTGGTGATTTCACTCGCGGTGATGGTCAGTGGTCATGTCCTGTCGTTCTTGATTGCGTGCGATGAGTTCAATGCTGATTGTGGACAAAAACAATTAGGTACCGGAGGCAAGTCCATCTATGGCGAGAAGTTCGAGGATGAGAACTTCAAGCTTAGGCACACTCGCAAGGGTCTTTTGAGCATGGCCAACGCCGGCAAGGACACCAACGGATCTCAGTTCTTCATCACCACTGTCCCCACTCCGTGAGTTTCATCCTTCCCCATAACAACGTAGCCGCTTGCTGATTTCCCTCGAAACAGTTGGCTCGACGGCCGTCACGTTGTCTTCGGCGAGGTGCTCGAAGGTTACGAATTTGTCGCACAGATTGAGAACGTGCCCAAGGGCCGCGGCGACAAGCCCGTGGAGACGGTCAAGATCGTGAAGAGCGGCGAGCTGCCGGTGGAGGAGAAGGCCGAAGAGAAAGGTAGCAGCCACGAGGAGTTGTAGACTGGCCTTCCTGCGGTCTGCGCTTGCTTCTAGAAGAGTAAAGTCTGCGATGTGCTGATATCTGCTGTGTAAAGAAGAAATGATCTCGGAGATCCCGTCACAACCTTCGGCAACTCCTGTGGCTCCTGCGGTTGCCTCCCTCATCACTTCTGACAGCTACCCTTATATTTACCCGAAAATCGCGGCCCTCGCTCTTGTCGTTGGCCTGCTGCTGATCTTGATCAAGCGCAGCACCCCAGGACAGCGAGAGAAGGCTGAGAGAAGTGTTGTTTAAGATCGATGACGGACGCTCCGCCATGCAGCAACGGATTCGTACTCCATAGCTTACTATAATCATTCAAAAAACTAGTGCAACCATGATTCCATCCCTCTGTGTTCGATAATTTATAGATCCCGCTATCTAGTAGCTTGTAACCCTTGATGCACACGCCCATTCGGCCGTGCGTACTCACCGGTCCTCTTATAACTAACTGATACGTAACACGTCTCAGCCCTGCAAGTATAGACTGCCAACAAGTCTTACCAAGTTATCACGAAGAAGTCGGTCAGAATTTCAAGACCATTCAAGTTTAGACCAGGCACTCGGACAATTGAGGGAGGCCCTTGCTTTATCTTGACCCGTCCTCGATGGGTCGAACCTTTGATACTGTTGGCGGACCCCCCAAGTATTACAATGCATTCCCATTCTGGCCAGCAGAGTCCATTGCTTTGAATGCAGCACTGCAGCGACGTGGAAAGGTTCGCTGTATAATCTCCGTACCACGTCATGCGGCCCAGGATCATGCCATGAGCCTCCGTCAAGGTATGGTACTAGCTCTGGGCATGATTCAAGCGATAGCCGCGCCTTTTCACTTGCCTCTGGAGCGCAGAATGTGGTTTTTGTCGCTGTACGAGAGACAAGCGCACACGAGCTGAAGATTTCGATTGGAGCGGTGACCATGCCACCACAGTTTTCATCCAAGGATTTGGCCACAAGTACGTTTGATCCCCAGTCTATTTATTAATAGCATCGCCACTGTCACATTTTGCCTTGGACACCGTACTATGTACTTCGATATTTCCGACCAGGAGTTGTCGGCCTTATACCCTTATGCACGATGATGGCAGGATCCTGGCAGCCGAACCACTATATAGACTCGCTCTGAGAAGTGTGAATAGATGATTGGATATTTCCGCCTTTTTTTTTTGAATTGACTAAACTGCTAGGTGAGCGTGACGATGTTGCCATCACGTTGTCGAAGGCAAGGGACAAACGGATGAAAGACATACACCACACTGTGGAGATACAGTACTTCCAAGATGTAAGTGTAAAGCGTGAGCTAGAAGCAAGCCATTTTCGAGTACTTTCTCAACCATTCTTGTAAAGATACATTGTATACACGCGTTTACTGTGGGTAAGTATAGGTACGGTATACATGTGTTGAGTGATGAAGCGGCGGCAAGGAGGCGGCTTGGCTATGACGACTAAGCAGATACGTCACGGGAGATTATTCTCAGCTGCTCGCGGTAATCCTCCGTACCCGTAACGCTGGAACATCTTTTAGCTTCTCTGCCTGAGGCGTCATCATTAAGGCTTCGCCGCCGCCCCAAGATTTTTTTTCGCCCCCTCCAGATTGGCTCAGTCATGATCGGTCTAGGATGATGTATGTATTGCAAGATAGTCAGTTATCCTTTGGTGCATTTGACTTACTGAGTAGAAAGGACTCAGAGAAACCCATAGGATAGAAAATCATTTGGATTGTTGATGTTCTTACGAGATCTACTTAATACTCGTATGTACTGTAATCAAGTCAACATAACATCTTGATGAAAGAGATAGACAAGCAGCCAACACCAGCGCAAACTACTACTAACGCAGTGCATTCGTTTGGACTGGGGTCCAGCCCGGAGGCTAACTCACTTATCGGCAGCACAGCCAAAACAAGTTGGAACCCTCCCGCCGCCACCGTGTCCGTGTTTGGCTGGCGTCTGGTACGAATTTTTCTTTTTTTTTTTTCTTCTTCCTTTTCTTCCTTTTCTTATTTTTTTTTTACTTACATGGCTGTATTGCTGGTCACCTCTCCTCCCTTCGCTTCGTTAAAATTTACACGTTAAACCTTTTTCCCCCTTCTGGGTCCAGTCGGTTCCCCCAATAAGCAAGCCAACCCGTTCGATGCTAACCGCTGAACAGCCTTGAAGATTCTTACTTGGTAGGCACAAAAAAGTGACAAGAGAGGAAGAATGGTCGAAGGTGGCTGTTTACCTACACACACACACACCTGATAATTGTCCAGTAGTTACATGCAGCAAATGTGAAAAGAAGTAGTCAAGCAGTTAACATATGATGATTTTTAATCAATGAATTCGTAGTCATCCTTTCTTTGCCTCTTTTCAAATCTCTTCCCACAAAAAAAAAACTCTCTTCTTCTTCCTTCTTTAACTACTACTTCAAACCAAAAAATACCACCCACATCCCACCCCCCCTCTCTCTCCCTCCGCTGCTAAAATCCAAATCTGGTTTCAATTTTTTCCCTCTCCTCTCCTCTCCTCTCTTCTTACTCCTCCCCCCCCTCCTAACATATCTCCACACCGTATCCTCACCAACTCTCCTACCACCTCTCTTCCACCTTTTTTCCTTCTTCTTTTTTTTTGCTACACCGTAATAGAGGTTTAGATCTGGGAGATCGCCTTGTTTTGCACTTTATCAAATTCTCCCTCTAAGGTCTCTCTTTACTCCTTTCTTTCGTCTTTTGACACTGTGTCACTTGCTGTCTTATTCGGTCTCTTGTGTATTGCCACTCAACAGAGACACGGAATTTTTTATCTGACGTCCTCATTCCTTTCGTCCTGTTCCTATACAGAAAAGAAAAGGAATCCTACATCGGACGCGATTCTGGACAGCAACCTGTAATCGCTGCATCACTTTGATATCTTCGCGAAACAAAAAGCATTGAGAATTTTCCTCTTGTACGTCTTACACACCCCCCGGCTACAATTGCGCCACAACTGCAAAACAATCCACTTACGAATTCATCTGTCTCATTCAGCCAGTGAAACACCGCAAATATGGCCGACGGTCTGAAGATGGGAAACCTTTCCCTTAACGAATCTCAGCATGCGCCCGCTGCTCCCGCCAACACGGGTCGCGCTGCCTACATCCCTCCTCACCTTCGTGGACGCCCGATGGGTGCGAACATGGACGGCGCTCCTGCTCCTGCTCCTGCTGCTGCTGCTGCCGCCGCTCCTCCTCCCGGTCCCGCTGCCAACAACTCCTGGGGTAACAGGTATGTGATATCTCCCACCTCCCATAATTCCACTCGTTCTCGGTGGCACGAAATAGGTTGCCTCCTCAGAACTGTCCACAGCCGCTGACTTGGTATGCTTTTGACATGACAGAGGAGGCCCTCGTGGTGGAAACTGGGCTAACGCTAACGCTCCTGACTTCAGCCCTCGCGGTCCCTCCAATGGTAACCCTAACTGGACATCCCAAGACGGTCAACGCCGGCCCTTTAACCCAGATGCTTACGGAAACCCAGGACACGGAGGCTCCTATGGCGGTAGCTCCGGTGGCTCTGCCCGCGGCTCCGGAGATGGCCAGTGGCGCGACGGCAAGCACATCCCCGGCCCTGCCAACCCCCGCTTGGAACGTGAACTGTTCGGTGTTCCCAACGATCCCACCAAGCAGAACACGGGTATCAACTTCGCCAACTACGATGACATCCCCGTCGAGGCCTCCGGCCACGACGTCCCCGAGCCCGTCAACACCTTCACGAACCCTCCTTTGGATGACCACCTGATTGCCAACATCAAGCTGGCCTACTACCAGACCCCTACTCCCGTCCAGAAGTACTCTATCCCCATCGTCATGAACGGCCGCGACTTGATGGCCTGCGCTCAGACTGGTTCCGGAAAGACTGGTGGTTTCCTCTTCCCCATCCTGTCTCAGGCTTTCCAGCACGGTCCCTCTGCGGCTCCCGCCCAGGCCTCCGGTCAGTTCAGCTATGGCCGTCAGCGTAAGGCTTACCCCACCTCCCTCATTCTGGCTCCTACCCGTGAGCTTGTCTCCCAGATCTTCGATGAAGCCCGCAAGTTCGCCTACCGCTCTTGGGTCCGCCCTTGCGTTGTCTACGGTGGTGCCGATATTGGTTCTCAGCTCCGTCAGATCGAGCGTGGGTGTGATCTTCTCGTGGCCACCCCCGGTCGTCTGGTCGATCTGATTGAGCGTGGTCGTATCTCCCTTGTCAACATCAAGTACCTCATTCTTGACGAGGCTGATCGCATGCTGGACATGGGTTTCGAGCCCCAGATCCGCCGTATCGTTGAGGGCGAGGATATGCCTCACGTCAACGATCGTCAGACTCTGATGTTTTCTGCCACTTTCCCCCGTGACATCCAGATGCTGGCCCGTGACTTCTTGAAGGACTACGTCTTCTTGTCCGTTGGTCGTGTTGGTTCTACCTCCGAGAACATCACCCAGAAGGTCGAATATGTTGAGGACCACGACAAGCGCTCCGTCCTGCTCGATATCCTCCACACCCACGGCACCAGCGGTCTCACTCTGATCTTCGTTGAGACCAAGCGTATGGCCGATTCTTTGTCCGACTTCCTGCTCAACCAGCGCTTCCCCGCCACTGCTATCCACGGTGACCGCACTCAGCGTGAGCGTGAGCGTGCCCTGGAGATGTTCCGCTCCGGCCGTTGCCCCATCCTGGTTGCCACTGCCGTTGCTGCTCGTGGTCTTGATATTCCCAACGTTACCCACGTTATCAACTACGATCTGCCTACCGACATTGACGACTATGTCCACCGTATCGGTCGTACTGGTCGTGCTGGTAACACTGGTATCGCTACTGCTTTCTTCAACCGTGGTAACCGTGGTGTCGTCCGTGACTTGATTGATCTTCTCAAGGAAGCTCACCAGGAGGTTCCCTCCTTCCTTGAGAGCATTGCTCGTGAGGGCAGCGGATACGGTGGCCGTGGCGGTCGTGGCGGTCGCGGCCGCGGTGCCAACGCTACCCGTGACATGCGTCGCATGGGCGGCGGTGGCGGTATGGGCGGCGGCGGCTCTTTCGGTGGTAGCGGTGGCAGCTACGGTGCCCCTGGCGGTGGCTACGGCGGTGGTGGCAGCTTCGGCGGTCCCCCCTCCTACGGCGGCGGCGGCGGTGGTGGCTACGGCGGCTACAGCGGCGGTGGTGGCGGCGGTGGTAGCTACGGAAACCCTTCGGGCCCTACCGGACCTTCGTCCTGGTGGTAAATTCGAAGTTGTGATTTTTGACGAGGCTGTCGGGTCTGATTGGCTCCTTTCATCTCTTCTTTGTCTGTCCCAAATAACGGACATGATCAGAACGAACCCCGGGCCCACCTTCTACTCTCTTCCTCCCTCCCACTCTCT